TGATCAATTAAAAGCAGCATTGAGGAGGGAATTAGGAGATGAGGTTAAAGGGAAGGTCAGAAAGGTGCCCAGGCTGGGGCAGTTTCCTGTGATGTCAGATCCATGCACAGACATGGAGGTACCAAGATGGAGAAAGCAGCAATGGCAGCTCCAGACGTCCCGGGTGCTCTCCTGGGGTCCATGATCACCCGCTGACTCATCCCTGATGGGCAGCTGCTGTCACAAACAGCCGGGAAAGCAAAAGATTCACCGAATAAATACGGGTTTAAATAGACCAATTCCTGTACAGGTCACTTCACTTCCACACGTCCCCACTGGGGACTGGCAATTCAGATCTGGAGCAATAAATCACCTCAGGCTGGCAAGAATAACGGCCCAGAGCTCACGAACACAAAGAATGCATTTAATCCTTTTCTGTTGCTGTGGTGAGCAAACAGAGCGTGCCCAGCACATTAGGCAGCTTCTTGTGTTAATGTATTACCTATAATTATTTGTAGAACAAAATGGAGACCAGTGGAATCAGTCCAGGTATTCACCATTCCCTGCAGCCAAAGGGCTTCCAGGAATTATCATCTTCCCAAAGTCTTGACAAATAGAGAATTAAAGGACGAAAGGAGTTTGTTTCCAATTGTTTTAACCAGAACAACATACGTCCTGAACACATGGTTACACACAAGATCTTACAGGAGAAAAAGAATAAAATAATTTCTGGACAGATCAAAAATCCACCTTTGTCCTTCTTGGCCTGTTCAGAGGCTTTTGTGTTTGCAAGGGCCCTGGGCATCAACATTACCCATCTCAAAGTCTTTACATCTGCTTCTTTTACAACATGTCACTGGTCCATGGTGCCTCTCATCCAACACCCCCAAACCACCTCTACAGCTAATTAACCAAGCACACTGTTTTACAAGGACTAAATGAAGTAATTCCTCACATACAGTGTTATAGAGGTGAGCAGCAGACTCCAAACACCACCTCAATGCAGGACACATTACAGACATGTCCCAAACAGACTAGCCTATGTGCTCAGCTGTGCTGGCAGAGATCACACATTGAATATTTATGAGTAAGAAATTGGGAAGAAGTTGCCTTTTCCAAGAACACGTATGAAAATAAAGCGTAGTTACATTTAATTAATAAATTACTAAGCTATAATATTCCAGTCGGCCACAACAGAAGGTTGGATTTCAGCAGAGATTTTTGGTAACTCCCCTGGACTTCCCCAGCCTGTTGCAGTTTGCTCTGAAAGGAAACCCCACCAGGTTGGTTTGGAAGGGACCATTTCTATAAACAAGTGTCCCCTGAAACTGCTTCTGTGCAGCCAGTGTGCTAGAGCAGTAACTACCAAGGAAAAAAAAGGCCAGTACAGCATCAGTGTAAGTAGAAAGGCAAAAGGTATTCGGGGAAAAAGTAAAAAGGTGAATAAATTAATGTCAATCCAGGCTTTACAAACATGTGTCAAGGGTTCTTCTCTTACTTTCCATCTGCCATAAAGAGAAGAAAGAAACATTCTAGGGTGGAATAAAAATGAGCAAAGGAAGAAAATAACAAGTGTGCTAAACCCATTTCTCCAAAGCCTCGGTGGCATTTCTCTGCCGCAGCACTCCACATCTCTGCAGGCTCGAGCCAGTGAGAGGATGCTGGGTTACTTCGCTCTCATAGCATGAACTCGTACTCCTTGCTATTCTCAATCTGTCACATTCAACAATCACACGCGAAAATGACTCAGGCTGCCAGTTGTCTCCATGTTGTGCTCGTTGAGCATTTGCCAGTTCCTCAGGAGTAGGCTTGATATTGAAAGCCACACTTTGGGAAATGTGATTTAGCCTGAGCCTGCTGCATTAGGCTCAAACATTATGATTTTTTTCTTTATCCCACAATTTTTGGTCTTTTTTTTTTTTTTTTTTTAATCTTGCAGACCAACAATTCTGGACACAGAGGAAAGAAACAGCAGGTTAGATCAGTGGTTTGTTCAACCTGGCGTTTTGCCCCTCCTGGAGGCATTTATTCAAAGTGCCTAATATTTCAGAAGGAGTGGAAAAGCCTTAATGTACCACCCCAAACACCAGCTGTAAACGTTGGGCAAATTTTCTTCCTGTCACCTGCAGTGATCACCTGGGAAGCAGGCAAGGATTTTCACCTTTTTTTTCTGAGCAAGAGCTGTTCCGTGGTGCAGCCTTTTAGCTGCAGACACTGAGTCACCCCCTCCCCTCTGCAGCAGCAAATACCCTTCAGCCCACTGAGGGCTCCCCATGCTTGGAAAAAAAATTCTTCCAGTCTCATAATCTCAGCTCCAACACCTGCCATCAAAGCCTTCAAAAAGAAATTACAGCCCCAAGGATCTGTACCGTGGCCTCCTCTGGCTGCAGGGGCATCCTGTGGTGAGCAGCTCACAGACATGTACATGCTCACACTTATTTAGGTTGTTCCCCCTCTCTGCAAACCTAATGTCCTAAGGAAAGTATTTTGTCGATTCAGATAATATAGAAATAGCCACACTTAACGACCAGCTAAATTTATTCAGTCATTTTGTAATTTATTTTTGTAACCACCAATGAAAAAAAAAGAAAAAAAAAAGAATAGTAGGCCTATAATAGCCTCAGGATTAAAGTGTACTTTATAAATTCTCTGGAGGGCTTTTTTTCCACTAGAAACTGTCCTCAGCCAAAATTCTTCAGATAAATAATGATCTCCTATACAAAACATTCAGCAATGAGGACATTCAACATCTTGGAAATGTGAAGCACGAAGACTATGTATAACTGTAATTGGAAATTGTGTGAAGTTAATTACTGTTATATAAGCAAAATTTAGGCCTAAGATTTGATGCAATAAATAATAAAATGAAAGAGATCAATTCCAAAATCTTCATGCAACCATTTTATTGCTATTCAAAGTAATTAATCTGAGTTACAAATTTACAAAAGGTAAACAATAAATCACTCATTCTGTCCCACAAATGCCACAAGTCATGGGAATGATAAACAAAGTTTTCTACGTCTACTAATAATGTAGCAAACGGATTTTTATTCAGGAAGCCTCTAAAACTTCCCCCAATTACACAGATAGCTGTCTGAAAGCATACGGTTTGTGTAAAGACTGCGTGTACCATATGCACGTATCACTTCACTTGCCACTGAAACAGTTGTGTCATGGGTGGAATGTGGCAACTCTACCCACACACAGTAATGTGATACAACAGATGAAGATAGTGGAAAGCCGTGAAACTGCATGGAGAAATTTAAGTAGATCGAGTCCATCTCTACTTCAATGGGAATTAGATCAGGCCCCAAATGAGAATTTATGCATGACAGCTGGATTAACATATATATTTCCTGAAAGACAGCACCTTTATAAACTGAAGAGTTCCATAGTGTCACACTGGAGCATTAGTTCATTTTTTATTAAGAGAGAAACCATAATTTTGTAATTCACAGTAATTTCCTCCAGGACATCGGTCTCCTTAGTTATCTCTTTTGAGTCCTGATCCTACTTAATTTGCAAGGGATGAGACTGCAGCAGGGACAGCTTAGTGTATATTTGAGTTATAGTCCTCATATATTCTGGTTCATGAGCAGGAAGCAGTGCAAGCGTGAGAGGCCCAATTAAATTAAAAGTTCAGCAGTCCTCCATTTCAGCGAACGGTCAGGCGACAAATGATTACGGTATTATTGCATTTTCTTACACAAGAAAAACTGCACACCTTTTTTTTTTTTTTTTTTTTAAATCATGCCCTGCCCACCTGATCCCTGATCCACGGTGGGAAATCCTGGCACTCTGGAAGGCTGGAGCTTCCTACCCACGGCAGGAAGCTCCATCAGACATGCAGTGCCACGGCAGGGGGAAGCTTTACAGCGCGGGAGCACAGATGGGATCAGCCTGCAAGCAAATATGTTTCTGCTGCTAGGGAGAAGCATAGAAAGCAACAGTGAATAAAGATGAAAAATAAGATGCTGACAGAAGAAGGGGGGAAAAAAAAACCCGCCAAAATGGGTACAAAGGGAAGAGGGTATGGTAGAAAAGACCAAAAATCTGGATGGGTTTGTTTGAGCACTTGCTTTCCACTAATGAGAATTCTTCCATCTTACATCAATAACACCACTATTTGGCATTTAACCTCTAAGTTGTGACTTCATAACTGGGCATTCAGGTTTTCATAGCAATTTGCTCTATTCACTCACATACATAAAAGCTCTTGCTGTGAAAGGCAAAGCCTTGTGCTCCTTTCACACAGCTCTGAATGCAACCAGGAGCTCTGCCCACATAATGAATGCACGTAGGCCATACCTTTAACTTTTTCTTTCATGTAATTAACTTAGTTTTTTATATAAAAAGATGGATACCTTCTTGGAGACAGGTGACCAAGAGGTGGAGACACAATTCTAGAGACAAAAATCTGTAAGAATCAGTCTGTATCTAAAAAATGGCAATGAGGTAAACAACATCATGGTTCATAAATCCAGCTTCTGAACAGCATTCAGATTTTAATATTTGATTAGGACAAGTAAGAATTAAGACATTCTCAGATCTGTTACTTCACTGCTATAGCACAGCACAAATGCACACACTAGAATATATTAATGACTAAATGCTCCACAGACCTGGAAACTTGAGGTAGAGAACAAGATTCATTTTAAACTGCTACAATCCTGATAACAGATCAAATATCTAAATAATTAGAAGAGTCATCTAAACATGGTATACAAGCATCTCAGGTGGTGGCAGTGTTAAATAGTAGCATCCATCCCTGGCAAAAAGGAGTTAGAAACTCTTCTCTCGCTATGGAAGTCTTCCTACTAGAAAGAAAGCTTTTGATCTTATTCAGTTTCTTTTTAAGCACTTAGTCTACTTTTGTCTAACAATGGATATTAAAGTAATTCTAAGGCTGCAAAGCCTTTACCTACAAATCGTGCCATTCCAGGATTAAAATTCCTGAATTCATCTCTGTTGTGGATATGCATAAGGGGAGTTTTCAATTACCTTTTTACATACAAGTCTTCTGGAAACCATAGAACTCCATTCCACGCAGAGGAAAGCAGGAATATTAATTGCCTCAATGCTTTCTGTATGGAGCTTTCACTGTAGTTTTAATGCTCAATAAACATCAAAGATTTATCTTTACTATCCAGCTGTGACAGAAGATGCTCTTACATTCACTCTCGGTAGATGGAGAACAGGCCATAAAACTTAAGGCTGAAATCATTAAAAATGCAATGATTTCAGAAGCACAATATGAGTGCTCCAAGTCCTCATTTTTCAGAGTACCTGTCATTTTAGGCATATCCCACGTTCAGAGCAGTTATCCCACTGATCTCAACTGCCATGGAAGCTATCCTGCAGTTTCCTGTCTCTCTACCTACATAGACTTAAAATGTAGACCATAATTAGCTCTGCCCTCCTATTCGGGATCCCTCTCCTCCTTCTCCCAGTTACTCCCTTCTTTCCTCCTTATTATCTCCCTTACTTTACCATAACTCTGCTCGATTCACTTCCTGCCTCCAGTTACTTTGGTTTTGTCACATTTCCTGGGCACAGAAGGGGAGGAGCAGAGAGGACTGAGCCTTTCCTTGGCCACCTCTTCTGTGACCCCAGACACACGAGCTTCCATAAGCCATGACACCTCTGTGCCTGTTCTCTGGGGTGATGATGTATGGACCATGCAGGATGAAGATATGTCTTTTATGACAAAGAACTTAGAAGTCAAACAAGCCTCTACTGTGCAACTGTACATAGATATTTTAAGATTATAACTTCACCAAATTTGGCAATTTAAACAAAGCAGAAAGCACCATAGCTCAGCCACAAAGATAAGCCTCTACCACAAGTTTCACATCCCTCTGTCAGTGTACAGAGGCACCAGGACCTCGAAACAGCTGTAAGTGTTGGTGAGATGGACCAAGTGGCCCTCCCTGTGGCCTCCCAGGCACAGCTCGAGCCTTGGATGTGTGCAACAGAGGAGATGGTGGGGATGCTAAAAGTCTTTAAACTACTCACAGCACATACTTCTATCTCCAGTTGTAAGGTCAGAAATGTTGTAGGACGTTCACCTTCATCATGTGGGACATGTGATTGTGTGCCACAAGTGAGATTTGGCCCTACTGAAGGCCTATTGCACAGCACAGAAAGGCTTTTCTTTTCAGGGTTAATGAATGAAAACTTATGCTCAGAGTACGGTAACCTTAACATTGTGTTTTAAAAAGTGACTAATTTCTGCTCTAACCCGGCTGTCTTTCACAGCAGTGCTGTCCCAAACTCGAGACTACGGCGTTCATGCGACGTGGCAGCTCCTGAGACGTATGGAAACTGTCATGGGCAGGTAAAAGATTAATGGGAAGGGCTCTCTTTTGATTGATGAATCTGTGACCTTGAGCAACAAGAGCACTTGCACCAAGTATATCTGCCATGCGAGGCAGACAAAATGAAAGAGGCTCATGTTACACTCTCAGATCTCATTAAACACCCAGACCAGAAACACCGATACTGGCACTGGCCATCTGCTCTGCTGTTTGCCTGGTTACAGGTCTGATAACACTTTCAGGGAGCAAAAGTTAATCACATGTACAGATGAGCAGCAGCACTTCTGCACAGGAAATTCAGTAGAACATAACAGTTTCTAAAAAAAAAACCCCACATACCTGTTTTTACTTCATTCTGTTGTTTCAAACCACATAAGCTGGCAGTTCAAAGAAGAATTGTTGACATAAAAGGCCATAACTTTAGGCTCTTCAAATATTGCTGGTTTTTTATAAACAACTTGTAGCGTTATCATAAAGTTCATTAACTTGAAACCTGCCAAACTGCTGTGACCTCCTGTTACTCTGAGTAACAGGCAACAATACAGAATTATTTTTAATTGCTTTTAAATTATTTCCCCTATTGCTCTTTTTTGCTTATCTCAGTTATTTGAGAATTACAGTATTTTCTACCATTTGTTCTCCACTTGCAGAGATGAAGGCCCTTGCCAGTAGACCTTTCCATGTCTAATGTAATGTTACCCCAGCATCCATCCCTAAGGAATGAAGTTTCCCTGCAAGCGTTTTTCGAGAGACTTATGATCAACTAAATTTTCTTTGCTGAGCAGCAATTCCTGGAAAATCCTGCAACGTATTCAAAGACTTTCCTACTGCTTTTGGAGAATTAGCTCTGGGCAAAATGATATAGTCTATTGAAGCCATATCTGACCCAGAAAGTATTAACTGAAGAATGTGCAGGACAGCTGCTTATCGGAAAGAAAAGACATGCAGTGCAGGAGAATGACATGTAGAGCTACTTGAGTTAGTTCTGAATGACTGTCAGCTCTCCAGAGCCAGCCAAGCCCGGGAAGCAGATAGGATATTCTGCCAGAGCCTGTGCACATCCGTAATGGAGCAGGCTCGGGTATCTCCAGCACAGGACTGCACCATGCGGCGAGGAGATAGTTTATCATCTGAGAGCATTTCAGATACATGATCTGATAAGGCTGAACAGAAATCTGAAGTATAGCAGGATTATTTCCAAAAAAAGTGTCAAAGGGCTCAACGTTTCTGTGGAGGACTTTCTGTGAGCAGGTTTGGTCTGCAGCAGGCCAGGGTCGTGTTTTTCAAAGCACTGCCCTCGCTGGTTTGTGGTGGTGCTCCTCAGAAGCTCAACCAGGTACCATTCTCCCTTGAATTATGTTAAAAGAGAATGCCTTGTTTGCACAACAGTGTAAGTGTCACTTATTTCCAGCTACATATCCAGTTATACCTAAGCAGAGGAGCCTTCAATTCTTACTCAGCTTTCCCAGACTGGAAACAGGGTTCTATATGTGGGACAATGCATTTTTCTTTACTGTTCCTTTGGATGAGTTGGTGTGTATCAACTGCTCATTTGCTGTTGCATCACCAATGCTTGAACATTTTAACTCTCTGAAAAACTGAGGAAATCCTTGATTTGGAAGTCATTATTTATGATTTATGCTAACACTACACCATGGATGGCACTCCCCCAACACCATTTCCCTTAGCATCCCTCATCATACTGTGAAGTATTATTGCACAGGGACAGTAATAACATCATTAAACGAGAACATGCTTTATTTTTCTAAATATCTTTGCATCCATTAATCTGTTCAAGGGAGAACACTAAACGAGCCACAACCTGACTTTCAGAAAGGTGCTGCTGGGGCAATTCTGGGGGACATTTCACAGTAAACATTGTTTCTGAAAATGTCACAGCAGAGGATCCGAGGCCCTGGCTTGCCAGCAAAGACACAAACGCAGAAAATACATTCCCTTTCCTAAAATGCATCCAGGCCCACCCCCCGCACCGTGCCTGAGCTCATCCACCGCAAGGCTGAGCTGCCGATTTGGGCTTTTGCAGGAGAATTTTTAAAAGTTCTTTTCCAAACAAGCGGCTATTTCCATTCGCTCCTGCTCGGAACCCTTTCCCTGCCATACACCGCTCGCACCGGTTTCGTGACGTTACTTTCACCCACCTCCCTCCCCCTTTCCCCGGTTCCCGAGGCCGTACCCCAAAATCCCCCCCCAAAATCCCCCCCCAACCCCCCCCCCCCTCGTTCCCCCCCCACCGCTCCCCGGCGCTGCTGCGCCCCCTCCCCGCGCTGCTCTCCGCGGCCGCGCAGTGCGGGCGGCCTGGGCAGGCGGGGCGGAGAGAGGGAGAGGAGGAGGAGGAGAGGGAGAGGAAGGAGGAGGAGGAGGAGGAGGAGGAGGAGGAGGGGGGCCGGCCCGCCCGCAGCCGCCGCCGCCGCCAGCGCCGCCATGATGCTTGTTTGCTTTCAATGAGTGTGAGGAGGAGGCGGGGGGGAGCCGCTCTCCCGTCCGGCCCGCGGCAGGAAACAAAGAGCCAGGCAGGCGGCGGAGCGAGGGCGGCGGGGGGACGGGGATGCTGCAGCCACAGGTAGGGGCGGCCCCGGCGCCCGGCCCGGAGGGGAGGGGGCTCAGCCCGGGGGGGCAGCACCGCGGGGGGGGGTGCGCCGTGTGTGTGTGTGTCTGTGTCTGTGTGTGTGTGTGTGTGTGTGTGTGTGTGTGTGAGAGGGGGGAGCGGCGGTGCCGCGGCGAGGGGACCCCCCCATATCGGAGTTCAGTGTGGGGGAGCCCCCCCGGGTTGTTCGGGGGTGTCATGGAGGGGTGAGGCCCCCTCTGGGCGTGGGGGGGGGCTCCGGAGCGGGGGGAGCTGGGCCTGGAGAGCCGCGGCTGCGGGACCGCCCGGGGGAGGCTCCGCGCCCCGGGGGGGGCGGCGGGGAACGGCGGCGTTGGAACGGGGGGCGGCGGGGAAGGGGCTGCGCACCCCCGGCCCGGGCCCGGCGAGCGCCCAGCGGCGAGCGGGAGGGACGGAGCGAGGGAGGCAGGGAGGGAGCCGGGCCGGGCGGCGCCGCGCAGGAGCCCGGCTGTGTTTGCATCGGGGAGGCAATTAAGAGAAATTAGTATAATGGCATCTGCGAGCCTGAAGTTTTTCGGTGGTTTTTTCCGGTTTTTTTTGAGGGGAGTTGGTTTTTTTTGGTGGGTTATTTTTTGTGTGTGTTGTTTTGTTGTTGTTGTTATTATTGCCGTTGTTTTGGTATCGGCGTTTTTTCTGTTGTTGTTGTGGTGGGGTTTTTTTTCCCCTCACCGTGCGATCGAGTTTAAAATAATTAAAACAAAAGGCGAGAGAGGGAAATGACATCAATCGGGGCTGGGGGGGGGGAAGAACTGCCCGTCCACCCCTCCGCGCGCGCGGCGCCCCGCGCCGCTGCCTCCCCCGCCGGAGGGGAGGCCGCTCCGCCTGGCTGGGCGCGCACCGAGGGGCGGCAGCCAGCGCTGCCTGTCAGCGGCGGAGCGCCTCGCCTGCTCCGGAAGGAGCCGCGGCAGCCGCCGGTCCCTGCCGGCCTTCCCCTCCCTCCCCTCCCCGCCGGCAGCGGGAGCCGCGGCCGCGCTGGCGCCGGGGCCGCAGCGGCCCTCGCTCGTTCCGGCGGAGGGAGCGGCGGGGCGGGCGGGGCGTGTGTGTGTGGGGGGGAGCCGTGAGTGACAGCGGAGGCGGCCAATGAGGGAGCGCGGGGGCCGTGAGTGGCAGCGGCGGCGGCCAATGGGAGCGCGCGGGGGGCGGGCGCGCGAGGCCGCGGGACGGGCGCATGCAGGGGATAAACAGAGGGAATTGGGGCGGGGGGCGGCGGCGGGGCCGGGATTGGGGTTTGGAGTGGGATCTGGGGTGGTCGTCTCTCCATAAACGGGCTGGGTGCTAGCGGGGTCACTGCCTGGCTTCGGCTGCACAGGGATGAACGCCTGGGCTGACTGCGGAACGGGAGCGGGCGACGGGGAGCTCCTGCACCCCCACGGCCTGTCGTGGCGTTCGCTTCCTCATCCAGAATTTTATGGAGAGCGATAAGCCTGGGATCAGACAAGGCTTTAGAAAAGGGGATATCTCTGCACCTGTCTCTGTCTTGATGTGGATGGTGAACACGTATTTTACCAGCAGTTTTTCCATGAGCATTTAAAATTCACGTGAAAACCTGCTAGGTTGGCATCCTGGCTTGGCCTCGATGATCTCAGAGGTCTTCTCCAACCTAACTGATTCAGGAATTCTTTCATGCTTTACTTTTTCCAATATATATAAAAAATATTCAAAACAAATACAGTAAACTAAAGGTTCTGTTGGCTTTTGTAGGCAGGTTTTTTTATTTTGATTTTTTTTTTTTTTTAAATACAGCTCTCTTTATTTCCACAGATGCATAGAAAATTGTATGGCTGAAAATATAACTGCACAGACGGGTGTTTGCATTGTAACTAGGGTTGCAGATCGTCTGTTTTTTTCATTTGATTTCTGGGGCTTATTTTCTTAATCTAGATTTCACCACAGTGGGTAACTAATTCAAAATTCAAGGGATTAAGAAATACCTGTGGTATTTGTCTGGCTTAAACACAAAGATGTGCAAGTGTTGGCTGGTAATTGTATTGTATCTCGCATTTTTTTTTTCATTCTAGAGCAGGTCTCGTAATTGGGAATTTATCAACATTTCCACTGGGGTAATTTTACAGGATTATCCGCCCTCTGTTCTTCCTGCTGGTTCATCTGGACTCTGTGGAGTTTGCTGCTAGCAATGGAGCCTTCTGTGGGGGTTTATTCATGCTATTACTGAAATGGAGCCCTTCGCGTTTGGATTAACTCTTTGTTCACTTTTCACCTGAGTCGCTCGGATCAGCCCATGTGTAAAAAGGATACTACCATGCATCCCTTTTCTGTTTGCGTTTTGAAGCTGAACTCTGAATACAGTCTCAGTGTGTTCAGGCTGTTTACTGTGCTTGAATTTTAGAGGAAGAACTGAAATGTAAAGATAGATGTGACTGTAAAACTGCATGGGCAGGTAAATACTTCTGACGTTTTATATTATGAAGACTTGAAAACATGTTATGACGGGTCGCAAATTGAATGAGCACGGTACCTTTTCAAGGTAAAAATCATTAGGAAAAGGCTGTGCTAGATCTTGGGAAGGCATTCTTTTAAGCAAGTGCAATGTTCATGATGGAAACCACTGTCTTTAAAATGGGGTCAAATGCTCCCAGGATTGAGCAAACTAAAAAACCTTTCCCAACACGTGAACAAAAGCATCTGGTTTTTTAAAAGCATGGCAGTAAAATAAAAATGGCCTTGTTAAGATATCACCAAAAAACTAAGTATTTTTCTTGGTATATTTTGCCATTGTTGTTTGGCTCACCACCATGCCTAAGAGTCCAGGTGATGAACCAGAATTCCTCCATCCAGTTGTGCAGCCCCTGTTGCAGAGGCCCCAGTCTGGTTTGCTAACAGACTTTTGAGTTTTAATTTATTTTCTGGTTTTGTCCTGTCATTTTGGCTGTACACTGTGTATGTACAGTCTGAGCATTATATCCCTGTCCCAAGTGGGGCTGCATTAAGCAAAGATTCTACACAGAATCTCTAGCAATGAGGATGCCTTTCAGTCTTTAGAATTGAAAGAATATACAAGAATTGACACTTATTTCCATAGGGGTTTTATTGCCAGGAGATATATATAGTATTAAAGGTTACAGTTGTGTATGATGAGCTTTAAAAAGCTACCAGTGACCTTAAAACACCACAAGAATATTCTCTACAGGCCCCATCACTGGATTTTAGCCCTAGTGGCACAGGACAGATCCTTGTCCTGTTTTATGCAATGTATTTGGGGTTTTTTAGTCCATATATTTAGATTTTACGCTGCTTTTGGTGCCAAAATACTGACATTATTGAATCCAGTCTAAATTTAGACTTCTTTGTGGTGTAATTTTGAAAGCTTTATGCATAAATTGCTCAAACTGAGTCACTGCAGGGTTTCATCTGTTTTGTTCTTTCTGAAGTGTTGGTGCTTCACACTTGGAAGTGTGATTATTGTACAGTACCCTGCAAGATTATTAGCATTGTATTAAGTGACATAATTTATGTTCCTACATTGAAATTGGGTTGTAGAAGTCCACTAAACAAGGGAATCTTGGCATAAGCTTGGGGACCTGCACTCACAATTTCTACACTGAGCTGTTTCTGCAGTTGAAGTCTTGAAGAGTTTACAAATGCTCAGACAGGTCCCTTAGAAAAAGCTGT